TCTTTAAAAGGTTCACCATCACTGTCCTAGGGCAAAAACAAACCATTTAGCGCTGCTCCCACTGCTGGCATTCTGTGGCTAAAATCAGCTGCTGGGAAGCTGCAATAGCCCTGCCTGCTGCAGAAAGCAAGAGGCTGAATTTGACAGGCTCCTTATTCTGAACTTCTTTTGTGAATGGCTGGACCATCCTGAATTTGTGAGGCTGGAGAGATAGCAATCCTGTCACTCAAAAGACCAGTGAGTCATCGGCTTGTTTCCAAAGGAACAGAAGTCAACGACTGCTGATCTCGGTGGAGCAGCTTTCCCCAAAATGGTGCCTCCCAGATGTTTTGAACTAGACCTCCCACAATTCTAAGTCCTCCTGGTCAACAGCTGGGGACAATGGGAATTGCCATTCAACTCATCTGGAAGGCACCAGGCTGGGGGAAGGCTACTTTCGTAGGAATCCAGGTGGCCAGCATATGGGGGAATGATTGTCATGTACGGGAAAGTCCCAGAAGTGCCTGGCAGGTGATCACAAAGTAGCTCAGCCAAATGAATTCAACTGGATGTTCTTAAGGGCCTCCTTCCTCCTTAGATGGCAAGGCCCTGCTCATTTCAAAATGTGGCGAGTCTCTGTGTCCGAGGGCACTCAAGCTGCTGGCATGTCTAGTTAAAAGGATTAAGTAGCAGCAGATAGCAGACTGGCTCAGACAACGCATGGGGTGGGGGGGCTAACACGGGAAATCCAGCCTGAGTGTGATGGATCTCCTGCCTGTTTCTGTCTGAAGCCTGGAAGTGAGGTAATAATTTTTTGCAACGTCCATCTCTAAAACTGTTCACCACTTGCACTTAAAAAAAACCTTATAGAAATGTGTTTAACATTGACTGATGCTCACAAATTGGGAGCGGAAAGCTACATGGCTTTAGCATGATTTGCACAAATTACGCTAGAACCATGTTGTGTTCAGCTTCTGATTTGTGTGATTGGCTGATTTTACACGTATTTCCTTAGGGGTTTTTTAATCTGCAATGTGTGTCCCATTTTAGGGAAGGGAGTCCCTGTGCTGGCTTGTCTGTCAGCAAATGCATAGGGCTGACAGACTAATATCTGAGGAAATCCATTGGATTTTCACCTCTTTGAGTCTTTACACATTCCTCACCCACACTCAAGGGTTGAATGTGGGCTGTTGAAGCATGGGTTGTTGTCGAAATATGGATTATCATGTTGTTTGAACCCAACTGTGCTAAAATGCCATGGACCATTCACAACAACAACAACAACAACAACAAAACCCATGAAGGAAACTCACGTTTGTTGCTGGGTTGTGAATTCATGAAGGGCCATTCATTATGGTTTGTTCTCATGACTGGGTTCAGACAACACAGTTCGACAACAGCCCATCATTCCATGACAACCATTGAGGGTAGGTTATTGCCTCTCAGCTCGGAGAGCCACTACCAGTTGGCACAGACAATACTGGCCAAGGTGGATAAATTGTCTTGGTGGAAGGTGATTCTGTATGTTATGCAAAACAAGCCAGCCAGCCAAGCAGCCAGTTCTACTTGGGCCATTTTTGCTCCTTGGCCAGGTGGCAACCCATGTTCCATGAGAATCGCCAGCAAGACTTCTGAAGCATAAAGTCACCCCATAAATGTATGACTATAAATGCATAACTGCGTGCTTATGGACAAGGTCTTCTGTGACAAACATTTTTGAAGGGAGTTAAAAAATGAGAGGTCAGTAGCAAACCCAAATAATCTTCCACACAGCAGCCTGATAATCCGAGATGAGCTTTTAATAGAAGACATACTTTTTCTTTAAAAGTATTCTTTTTTTTTCTTTCTTTTTTTTTTAACAAAAAAAGGAGCAGGATAATTGCTACGGCCCTTTACATCAGGATAAGAAACTCCAAACTGATCCAAGCAGCAAAGGTATTTGGGGAGGGGAAGGGAGCGAAGACACAAAAATATTTAAAATAAAATTTAAAAAAGCAAACCCCCTGGGTTTGTGGAAAAACAAGTCAATTTGTTGAGAAGAAAACACTTTGTTAGGAACAAATAAGACAGAATTTAAAACAAATTAAGACAAGAAACCACCATGCAAAAAAATAATATTTATATATAGAGAAGGCAGGCCCACCCCCGAGCTAATTCCTGGAACCAGAAGAACATACACATCTGGCTAGCTGTTGTTATTTTATTATTTTTACCATGAGTTCAAGCTAGGATTTGCAAACCCTTCGTTTTGAACTCCTCAATGCAGGACTCCATGTTGCCCGTTTTTTCCCCTACTGCCCATCTGCTGCTGGCTTCAAAAGGTGCACACACAATGGATTAGATCCAAGGTTTATACCGAGGTGATGAATGCAAAACACTTTGAAAACACTAAAGTGCTATATAAGTGCTACATATTAATAATCAATTTGCATTCCTATCCACATTAGTTGGGAGTAAGGCCCTGTTGAAAACAATAGCAGGGTTCAAACAGCATTCAATCCTTGAGTGTGAGTTACTGCTGAAGCAGAGGTTATCATGATACTCTGTGTTACTGTATTCCAAACCCAGCTGCCCAGAGAAGCCATGGTTTGTTAACCTCAAATAAACCCATGAAGAGAATCCATGGTTTGTGAACTGTGAGTTGTCCACTATGGTTTGTTCTCAGCTGGGTTCAGACAACATAACCCACATTTCAACTGTCCATGGTTCACTGACACCCCACACTCAGCCCTCTAGTCTGGGTTATCATGTTGCTTCTGAGTAAACTTGAACAGGATTGGGTTGCATGTTCTGAAACTTTGGACACACAAGGAAAAGTCATCCAAGTTCCACAGCTTTGCCCAGATTAATGATGGAAAGTGGACAACTTCTAACTGATATGCACCCATGAGGAATTAAAATTAGAAGCCAAGGCAAACAAAAACAGAGCCCCTGGATAATTAGGGGCTCTCAGCTTGCCTCTTATTTCCTCTCGGGATAAGTTCAGCTTCATACAATAGCTATTCTCCTAAAGCTTCTAAAGATGATCATCGTGGCAAAAGATATTCAAGCAATTTTTGCACATGGCATATGTGTCTTTCCTTACATGCTAGTTAACTGTGAATTAAGTCTTGTGGAGTTAAGACACGTGTGAAGAAGTGCTAAGTCTCCATGGTGAGAAAGCGAGTTGTCACTCCTAAAATAGGTGACGGGGCCATGCTCAGAATTCATTGCAAGCGTTCAATGACAACCTGCTTGTCTGAACCAGGACCTGGGTCTTAGCTCCATTTACCAGTCACCCAGTCAGATTTGGAGGTAAGAATTTCTTCCCCCCGCTCCCCCAAAACAACCCTGTATCCTGGTGCCTGAGAAGAGAACTAAGAGTAGTTTGGAAAAAACTTCCAACCACTGTCAGACTTGTGCTAACACTCCCTACCACAGGTTCTGCACCAAAGAATTTAAATTCCCTAGGTAAATCAATATGATTTTTCAAATAAGTTCATTGTGCATTCTATAGGTCAATTTGCCTGCCTTATTTTAAATTGAGCACTTGATCTTTTTTTTTCCTTTGCAGAACTTGGCTTTTTATCTTGGCAAGGAGCCCCAGCAAGGTGCAAAGCAAAAAAAGTATAAAGCAAAGAGAAAGTACTTATAGCTACAAGGGACAGAAATCAACAGCATCTGAACAGCCCAGGCTGTCACAGATACTCTGGATGATTTTGAATGTATATTCATAACTCACAAGAACTAGAAACTTGGTCTGTTTCCTTCTTTTTTACACCTGTGTAATCAAGACAAAATGGAAGAGGCTAGGATATGGTCTATCAGGCCTGTCGTTATTACTGAAATTACTGGGTTTGCAAATCCTGACTTCCTCACTATAGGTTAAAAAAAGCCCAACACCACAGCAGGTTTGAGGAGTAGAGGTGAAGGGAGAGGAGAGATCAGAGTGCTCTTGGCAGCTGGCGATGATATGCAAAGAAGACGGGGTCCAAATCCCAGTCCAGAGCAGAGGAGGCAGGCTGAGATGAATGGATTCCAGTTCATTCCTCCTGCTGGCCCAGGGTCAAGGCAGGTACAGGTGGAGCTTCAAAATAACCCCAGGCAGCCAAGGTGCGCTGAAAGCAGCAGCAGCAGCCCTCAAGAGATGATAAATTCCAGATATCCTTCAGAGGAAGGAACTTGGGAAGCCTCCGAGGAGCCAGGAAGAGAAGGCAAGGAGACCTCGGGGCCGAGAAGGGGTGGAGGGCACCTGGAGCAGGCTGCACCTGCAGCCAGGCAAGGGCGCTGCTGTCCAAACCAGCCCCCTTTCCCGAAGCAGCGGCTGCACGCTTGCCCACGGCCACCCCAGTTTGCCCACGACCTCTCTGCTGCCCAAGCTTTCACGGCGATGGTGATGATATGACAGTGGGCCAATGAATTCTTTTACATATTCTGACTAGTGTGGTGGGGGAGGAAGAGAATAAAGAAGGTGCGGGAGAAATGCGGGCGATTCGAGTTGGATTTTTCTGTTAGAAGGAATAGAGTTAAAATCCGGACCGCAAGCTCCCTTCCTCCCTGATTGCCCACCCCTCAGGGGTGGGTGATATTAAAGTGCAGCCTGAGAGGAGGCGGGAGGAAGACGCGCTGGAGGAGCTGGGCGGCTCCCGGAAGAGGGCCCGCCGTCGGCAGCGGTGGGATGGCGCGCGAGCGAGGGGGGCGCTCCGGGCACACGTCCGCCCCTCGGCGGGCAAGGCTGGGGTGCCTGCTCCCCCGCCCCCACCTAAGCCCCCCGCCCCGGGGTTCCTGCCCCCCTCATTCAGTCTGGGCTGGCTGCTCGGCAGGCGGCGGGGGCTGCTGCCCCTGGGAGGGCGTCAGGGGCTGGTGGTTCGCAGACGGGGAGTCGCTCTCCGGGTCCTCCGTCTCCTCGTCCGAGACGCCGTCGAGGCGGAAAACCTGCCGCACGGTCCGGGTGGTGAAGGTCAGAGGGGTGCGCCTGCGATGGCAAGGGGAAAAGAGGACAAGACAGTCTCCTCAGAGTCAGCTTGAAGAAGGTTCCCCCCGCCCCTGAAAAATACGCCGATCCCGAGCGTTCCCAGGCAAGGCTGACGACTGAGTCTCTCTCTCTAGTAAGCGCTCTTCGCTGCCATGGCATGGGCGCGATTTCAGCTGCTCCCTGCTCCTGCTCCTGTCCAGCCAGGAGAAGCTGGAAGGCCGACATCGCTCCATGTCCCTCCGGTGCAATGCCGGCGGTCTAGCTTAAAATACTTGAATGTTTAAAGCTGCCCCTCCGGTTGCTGATGCCGAGACAGAATGCGCAGCACAGCAGAGCAAAGCCTCAGCCCACCGGGGGGCCTCTTTGGCCCACCAGGGGTCTCCATCCATCCCGGAGTGGTTTGCCGCCCTTTGCGCAGCTTTCCCCCTCCTTTTCTAAAAGGCTGAGCTTTCTCCCAAGGTTTAGGTACAGGCAGCAAAAGCAACTGGGACACTCGTGTGTGTGTCACCCTGCCCTTTCGGAGTCTGGCCTCGCCCCAAGGACATGGCTCCTGAGAGCTCCTTGTAAACAGGATTTGGCTCTGGAGCTGAAAGGGATTTGCACCCTGGGAAAGAGGTAAGCCTCCCCATCCGCACCCACGGACCATCCGGGCCAATGGCCGCCTTCCAAGTGAGGAGACCTGCAGCCTGGACATGCAGTCCACTAGTCCTTTTCCTGTCTTTTTTCTCCCATCCTGCTTCTGCAGCTCCAGCTCCTCTTTCCCTGATCCTGTCCACATTAAGGGCTTAGCACTGCTATTCTGCAGTCAGCTGGAAGTGGAATTAAAGTAGCAGTTCCACATGTCAAAGGATAAGCACTGGGCTTTCTGGCAATGCCTCATTCAGTGGCCAAGAACGTCTGTAACATTAACTGAGAACTGTTTAGTGTCAGTTCCCACGACTTTAATCAGAAGCTTCCTTTTCTTGGAATGGCTCCCTGTACAGCACAACACAGCATTCATGATGATGGAGAATAAATACCTTCCTCTTTGCACTGTTTGACATCAAGAAAGGAGGCAGAAATAATTAAAGTGCCTTCCTTGCCCCACAGGTAATGGGACATAATTAACAGCTAAGGAGTAATTCATCTCTAATGTTGTAGGGTGCTGAATATGAAGCAATCAGAAGCAAATCATTTGATATGGAAATTTCTAATTAGAGGCACAGTAGCACTAAAAAGACACTATAGCATCTTGCCAGACCATACTGGATGGACAGACATACTGTCATTATTTTCAACTAAGAAGAAAGAAAACCTCACACATCAAATCTAAAAGAGACAGAGGGGAGAAAAACAGCAACCACTGGAGATATGTTGAAATGTCTTGTTTCTCCATAAAACTGGAGTAAGTGAAGAGTAACAATTCCAGACTAGTATGGAAACAATCCTTATTCTAGAGCTTTTCCTTTTACCAGGGGCCTGGAATCCTTTAGATTCCTAGTTGCAGTTGATAGAAAACAGAACCTCCACTTAAAAAAACAAAACAAAACCACACTTATTCTGTGTATATTTTGCTGAGAGGATTCTAATTTGGAAGTACTCAGAACAGTCCATGGAAATCTTGTGAAAGAACAGAGTAGCTGTATTTTGACCCTGGCCCATGGTTTAGCATCCTACTATTGAATGGGCTACAAGTGCTGATTTTGATGATAATGCAGGTGCTGAAGAATTTCTATTTCAATGAAAACACATAGGTGCTTTGATTTGTAGGGGTAAAATGCTATTTAAAGTAGTCTAATGAGATGCCAGCAATTCTCAGTGGTCAGTAAAAAGTTTGAGAACTGATGAGTTTGAGATACTAGTGGCTGGATGGTATATAAAAGCTTTAAATAAATAAAGTTCTGCATCAGCAGAACTTTCCCAACTGGTTACCTTCCAGAGGTAATTCAGTGCAACTGGGAAAGATGGGCCCTGTGATCCAGGTTGGGGGAGGGCCACTGTAAACTCATACTTAGAATCCCTTTTCATCCATTTCCTTAGCTGTTCCTCACTTTCTTCCTGCTTGTCCTGCCACTAACGGCAGCTTTTAAGGTTTTCAGAGGACACGGCAGTGTGAGGCTCTCACTGTGCTCCCCAGCAGTGGCTCTGTGCCTTGGTGTGGATGCATGGAAGGCAGGAATCCAACAGGTGGACACAACCTCCCAAAATATCTCGCTGTTGCCTGTGCTGGCGAGGGATGATGGGAGTTGCAGTCCAACTCATCTGGAAAGTACACATCACAATCACCAGCCAGGGTTTCGTGGCATCCTCTTCCACCTACCTGCGGCGTTTTAAAACAGCCCATCCTTTTCCCATGCTTTTGTGGTTGCTGTTTGCTGGGGGGGGGGGGCGGGGGGGCGAGCCTGAGGACACTGGCTGCATGCAGGTGGCACTTAACCCCCGAGAGAAGCAACATCCCCACAGGGAGGAGCATGACTATCCCCCTCCCCCAACCTGGGGCCCTCCAGATGTGTTGCACTGCACCTGCCATTCCCAGCCCAACACATCTGGGTGCTGCGGGGCTGGAGAAGGCAGAGCGAAGGCAGGGGCTTCTCCACTGCAAATAAAGCAGCAGCCAGGCCTGGAAAACACAAGCCTAGCTCAGCTGGCCCTGCTTGAGGGAGGCACAGCTGGCGGCTCTCACATCAACTGCAAGCGGCCCAGGAGTGAAAGCATCCTCACAAGCGGGCAGGGAAGATGCTGGGTATGCCAACCAAGCTGCTCCTGTGCCCTTCTCCCGTGGGACAAAGACCGCCATCGGATCCCCCTCAAATGCTGAATCTACATGCTTAAAGCAATGGGAGGACCCACATCTTGGACTGAAGCTGCAGGGCTGGCAGGGGAGTGCTTCACCCGCTCTCCCCCAATATAGCCGTTCCTCATTTTAACACCCTCCCCAATCCCCGAAAAGCCTTGCTGAGGGCGGGAGGGAAGCAGGTACCTGTACTGTGGCACTTTGGTGCAGGGCAGACTAAGAACTTTACCATACAAGGCTGTTAATTAGCTGTGCCTACTTTTGGGTTTGTTGCAAAATATGCAAGTCCCACACAAGGAGGGTTTCCTTTCCTGCTTTTCCATTACATATCCTCTAGGTGGCACTGTGGTATAGCAGTATACTGCAAATGCCAAAAACTGTGCTGTGTTTGCTTTCAGCTAAAGCAGGGGTCCTCAAACTTTTTGACTAGGGGGCCAGTTGAAAGGTGGCAGGGATGGGCGCCGGCCACCAAGGTGGTACAGGCAGGGGGAGCGGGCCGGGCTGGGGCAGGGGTGTGCGCACGCATGCAGAATGGCAGGGGCGTGCGTGTGCAGAGATCATTTTCTCCCAACAAGTCCAAAACTATCTCCTTGCGAGCAAGCCGGTACCTTGCTGCGCACACAAGGTGAGCTATGGCGGGCTGGATCCAGCCTGCAGGCCGTAGTTTGAGGACCCATGAGCTAAAGCAATTAAATTTTAGCTTTCCCTGAGCTAAAAAGCTGCCCCAGATACTGCTTAGCCACAAAATCGAAATTGGAGCTCATGTTATGGTCTAAAGAACCTGTAAACAAAAATGAGTAGGGGATGATGAGTACATGATAAATGCCCTTGTACAGATGGAAACTGAAACCCAAAGCATCTGGAGAACACCAGGTCATGAAAGGAAGATGTATACCATCCTTTGGGGGGTGGGGAGGCTAAAAATGTAATAAACAGAATGACAGAGACTATTGGAAGCTCCCTTGTTTTTCCTCTAGAAAACCTAGGTGAATATCAAATTATATACATACATATATGCAAACTTTATAGGGGTGGACCATAGACTGCCTTGTATGCCAAAGGGCCCAGGTTTATTCTCTGGTACCTGCAGTTACGGGATTCAGGTGATGCAAATGACTTTTCCTGTCTAGGAATCTGGAAAGCCAGTGCAGACAGCACAGGTCCTTCCAGACAACAAATGATTTCAGACAATACGACAGCCAACACTTAAGGGTTGAGTGTGGGATGTTTCTCAAATGTGGGTTGTTGTATTGTTTGAACACAACTATACTTACAACCCATGGCTTGATAACTACTAACAACCCATCAACAGAACCCATGGCTTGTTGCTGGGTTGTTCACTGAGCCTTGTTAGCATGGTTGGGTTCAGATAACTTACATCTCAACAAAAGTGCATGGTTCAACAGCCGTTGTGTGTGGGTCCTTGTGTTGTCTGAACCCAGTCAAATGGTCTGTCCTGGCACAGTGCTCCCTACCATGCCATCTTCCCTCGCCCTCTGTGGGTCTAACAATTTGAAGGGGTTTTAGATAAAAGAAGCAGCCCTCCACCTCCCTCCTTCTGGCCAAAAATCCAGAAAATCCAACCACTACTTCGGAGTGCAAAATATAAGGAAGGAGATCAGATGGAGGTTCTCCCACGTGGGGTCTGTCTTGGGGAAGGGTGAAGTGGAAAGCTGCAGCACTGCAATTGCGCACACCCCACGCCAAACCGCACCACAAAGCACACACATGCAGCGTTGGGGAGGGAACAGGGAGGACGTACTTCCGCTGCCGGCGCTCCAGCTTGCTGTTGCATCGAGAGAGAGATGGAATGTCAGAGAGAGCGCGCAGGGAGGGGGGTGTAAACGAGAGAGAGAGAGAGAGAGAGAGAGAGATGCAAACATGAAAGAATGACCTGGAAAAGAGGAGAATTATCTGAAGGGGAGCTGGAGAAGGATTGAAGCAGGCTATATAGGTCAGCCTTCCCCACCCTGGTGCCCTCCGATGTGTTGGACTGCAGTGCCCATGTCTGGAGAGCACCAGGGTGGGGAAGCTGCCTTAGCTTCTTGGGCAGAAAAACCGGCAGCTCAGCTGGGCAGAGTGCTGCTAAAATAGCCGGGCGTGGGGGGCTCGAAAGGTCAGAGCACGGGGGGGGGGGG